CCTCGACGAATTCGCTTGTGTTGCCAGGGTTTCTTTGGATTTTGTCAGGATGTCTCGAGCGAGACGTTTGTTTTTTTTGTTTGTTGTTTGTTATTATTCTTCTTCTTCTGCTCATACTATGTTGAGGATGTCTCGAGCGAGCCGCTGGTTTTGCAAAATTGGGGGATGTCTCGAGCGGGGGCCACGTGGGGGGACAGAATTCGAAGGATGTCGCAGGCAAAATGTTTGTTGTCGCGTCCCATTCGCAGGAACTCCGAGGATGTCTCGCGCGCGCCGCGCCCCGCGCGCAGGAATTTCGAGGATGTCTCGACTGATTCGTTTGTTTTGCAGGCATTCCCTTGGACTTTGACAGGATGTCTCAAGCGAAACGCTTGTCCCCAGCGCGTTCCGCGGCGCGTCCCCGTGGCACGTCCCGCGGCGCGTCCCCATGGCGCGTCCCTTGGCACGTCGCTCGGCGCGTCCCTTGGGACGTTTCGCGGCGCGTCCTCCTGGCACGTTCCCCTGCCCATTAGCTCTGGGGCAGCTACTATGTGTTCGGGCAGCTCGAGCTTAAGGTCCAGATCAGTTCGGTCAGGACTCGGATGCAAAGGCGGACTCGATCCACGAGGCTATAGAGCACAATCGCGCCATGACACATCGCAATTCAGCACGGCGCAGCACAGCGCAGATTTCGGCACGGTACGTCAAGATCGATACACTCAGCATTGCAACTTGGCACGTTCCTTGGCACGTTCCGTGGGGCGTCCCTTGGCGAGTCCCCCTGGCACGTCGCGCGGCGCGTCCCCTGGCGCATCCCGTGGCGCATCCATTGGAACGTTCCTTAGCGCGTCCCCTTGGCGCGTCCCGCGGTGCGACCCCATGGCGCGCCGCCTGGCACGTCGTCCGGCGCGTCCCTTGGGACGTTTCGCGGCGCGTCCTCCTGGCATTTTCCCCTGCCCATTAGCTCTGGGGCAGCTACTATGTGTTCGGGCAGCTCGAGCTTAAGGTCCAGATCAGTTCGGTCAGGACTCGGATGCAAAGGAGGACTCGATCCACGACGCTATAGAGCACAATCGCGCCATGGCACATCGCAATGCAGCGCGGTGCAGCTCGGCACAGCCCTCGGCGGGGTACATCAAGATCGATACACTCAGCATTGCATTTGCCCGTCACCCAATCTGTTACAGCTCTGTGAAAACGCTGCCATGTGTTACAATTCGATGTTCCTTTCCGGGTTTCTGGGTCGATCTTTTTTCTTAGAAAAAAAGCTTTCTTTTTTCAAGGGGCCGTTCGCTCGGAAGAAATTTTGTGAATGCGAGTTTTGTGCTCTGATGTTTCCTGCGCGCTCCGCCGTAAACGGCCGGATCTGTTCAGGTATGACTCCCCGTTGGCGGGCCATCGCAACGTTCCCGCGTTCTGAAGCAATGTTCTATAGTCTTTGGAATGTGTTAGTTAATTTAAGTTCATGCACATAGTAACTGTTAACAGTGATGCGATTCATGCACGGAGACGGCGCGAAACGAATCTCATTTGCACGCGCGCGCAACATGCATGCTCATAGTGCGCCGCGCGCAACGCGCGCGCGGTGCGCGTGGGCGGCGGCGTCGGCAGTGGTGGACGCTTGAAATTCGTCGTAATAGAGCGCGCGCGTAATATGCGCATAAATGCCCGCCCCCCGAGTAAATGTCCGGAGCATCTGCAGTCGGCGAACCGCCCAACCGCCTTGCAGGAGGTGCTGGTGCTGCTCCAGAAGTAGCCCGAGCAATCTTATTCCCCATATCCTAAGATGGGGTTCTTGTTATTACTTGGACGCCTCCTACTCACTCTCCCTCCTCCTCTTTCCTCCTCCCCTCCTGTCGGAGTTACTCATACTCAGACACAGACTTACTCATACACAGACTTACTCCTACACAGACTTACTCATACTCGGGCATACTCATACTCAGACCTACTCATACTCAGACTTATTCAACACACATCAGATTTGGAGGATGTCTCAAGCGGGGCGCTGGTTTCAGCACCCCTAAGGGGAGCCGCCAGGGGTGGTTGCACGGGCTCGTTCGCGGGCATTTTGCGGGGATGTCTCAGGCGGTTTGCTTGTTTCTGGGCCCAACATCCTTCGCTTGGAGAGCAGATTGTGAGGATGTCTCACGCGGGGCGCTGGTTTCAGCACCTCTAAGGGGAGCCGCCAGGGGTGGTTGCACGGGCTCGTTCGCGGTCATTTTGTGGGAATGTCTCAGGCGGTTTGCTTGTTTCTGGGCCCAACATCCTTCGCTTGGAGAGCAGATTGTGAGGATGTCTCAGGCGGGGCGCTGGTTTCAGCACACCTAAGGGGAGCCGCCAGGGGTGGTTGCACGGGCTCGTTCGCGGCCATTTTGTGGGGATGTCTCAAGCGGTTTGCTTGTTTCTGGGCCCAACATCCTTCGCTTGGAAGCAGATTGTGAGGATGTCTCAGGCGGGGCGCTGGTTTCAGCACCCCTAAGGGGAGCCGCCAGGGGTGGTTGCACGGGCTCGTTCGCGGCCATTTTGTGGGGATGTCTCAGGCGGTTTGCTTGTTTCTGGGCCCAACATCCTTCGCTTGGAGAGCAGATTGTGAGGATGTCTCAGGCGGGGCGCTGGTTTCAGCACCCCTAAGGGGAGCCGCCAGGGGTGGTTGCACGGGCTCGTTCGCGGCCATTTTGTGGGGATGTCTCAGGCGGTTTGCTTGTTTCTGGGCCCAACATCCTTCGCTTGGAGAGCAGATTGTGAGGATGTCTCAGGCGGGGCGCTGGTTTCAGCACCCCTAAGGGGAGCCGCCAGGGGTGGTTGCACGGGCTCGTTCGCGGCCATTTTGTGGGGATGTCTCAGGCGGTTTGCTTGTTTCTGGGCTCAACATCCTTCGCTTGGAGAGCAGATTTTGTGGGGATGTTTCAGGCGGTTTGCTTGTTTCTGGGCTCAACATCCTTCGCTTGGAGAGCAGATTGTGACGATGTCTCAAGCGGGGCGCTGGTTGCAGCACCCCTATGGGGAGCCGCCAGGGGTGGTTGCACGGGCACGTTCGCGGCCATATTGTGGGGATGTCTCAGGCGGTTCGCTTGTTTCTGGGCTCAACAGGGAGGGAAATGACAGGAACGAGGATGAGGAGGAGGAACAGGAGGAGGAGGAGGAGGCGGGGGATCGTGAGGAAGGGCATGGGGGTGCGGAGGGGGAGGGGGAACAGGAGGATGAGGAGGAGGAGCAGGAGCAGGAGAAGGGAGGGGGCGGAGGAACAGGAGGAGGAGGAGGAGGAGGGCGTTTTGCTCGAAGGTCCTTGACGCGAGCAGAACGTTTGTTCCGAAGTCCAGGACATATATATGTATATATATGTATATATAGATATATGTATTAAAAGGGGTGGCTGCGAGAGGGGGGGCGGTGGTTGTGTGCGGGATCGTTGGAAATGCTCACCGTGGCACTATCCTCCAACATGACATGCACTTCTGGCCTGGCCGAAATCGGCGCGCGCATTCCGTTGGACGGAAAATCGCAATCGAACCATCTTCTGCCCTCCCGCACAGGAGGGCGCGTGTGGGGGAGGATGCACGAGGAAGAAGAAGAGGGGAGGGATCGGACAGGCACAGACCTACACTTTGGGCGAGTCGATTAGCTTCTTGCGCGGACCCCCAAATTCCAAGCTTACTTTTTCGACATCGTCTTACGTATTGGTTCGCCCGCCATTCGAGAAGGCTGATTGCGCCTGTCGGATTTGCCGGGGCCTCGACGCCGCTTGCCAGTGTCAGGATGGAATCAAGACTTGCCGCTCACGAGTGGATTGGAGGATGAGCGCAAGGTGAGTCAATCACCTGCGGGGGGGCGCGGGCGTTTCCCGCCACGCAGGGGCCAGGGGCAATTGGGAAACGCTCAGGGAAATGGAGGGCGGCAGGCAGAGGAAGAACGGGGGAGGGAGAGTGCAAATCAACGGGCGGGAATGGGGAACATAGTGGCCAGGCGAGATGCTCTGATAGGGGGGGCGATGTGGGCGGAGGCCGCAGTTGGAATTCCTTCGGATAGCCTTGGGACGTTTAGACACCTCCGCCCGGAGGCCAGCAGGGGGTCTAGCGGCCCTTGCTTTCCTGACTCTGCGGGCGGGGCGCGACGACGCACCCGACTTGTGCCCCGCCCCTTCTCGCTCGGCGCCGGTTTGTACGTGCTCGCCCCGCGCGAGACGTAGCAAGGCGCCAGGTGTAGTTCTCTGCGTGCTGGTTTCGCCGGAGACATCCTCGCAACACGGAGCACTTATATAACTACACCTAGCCAGCGGGGCTGGGTGCATGTCGGGCGCCGCCATTCGCGCTCCCAGTGCGCGCCGCGCCCCGGCCGCTAAGTGCCGTTCAATGCGCGTCCCCTTTTCGCGAAGCATCGGCTGTCCGCGCTGCCCGTCGCCGAGGCCCCGCCCCCTGGGCCGCTCCCCACCGACATCCCGCATCCCCTGGCTCAGCGAAGCCAGCCGTATGCCGGGGGGCCTTGATTTCACGCAGCCCGCTTCCCTCTCGCGCTTGTGCCCCAGCGGCAAATCTGCGAACCGATCCCCCGCGCTTGCGAGTTTTTCTTCGTGCCGGATTTCCCGCCCGAGGGTGGAACGCTTGTTCGCGTTATGATTTGTCTTGCGGCTGCCGCCAAGCCTCTCCGTGAAACGTGGCGATCGCTTCCACGCTTGACACGCAACGTCGTCGGCGCGACCGTCGCCTTCCATCGTGAGTTGCGAGGCGGCGCCCGCCCACCCAGACCGACCGACGCGCCAGATCTAATTGTGATTGCCACCCCTGGTCCTCGCAACAAGGTGCAGTTTTGCTGTGTGTAGTTGTAGATGTGTTCGAAAGGAGAAGATGGGAATGGATTTGCATCTTGCCATTTTGGTAGCGCGTGCCACTTGATCGGAGAACTCGACGACGTGAAACGCCGCGGCCCTCCATCCTGCACTGTCGATTTCTTTTCGGTGCCAGCGTTCCAGGTTGTCTATCTTTCCTGATCGAGTGCCCTCCGCGCTGATCTTGCGAGCGGCGATGCATTCGCAATTCCCCGCCCTCCTGGCGCGCGCGCCGCGCAATTTTCCAGCGGGTGCCACTGGCGTCGCCATGACCTTTTGCGCCCCTATGAAGAAGGCGAAGGCCCAGCCCGAGCGCGCCGCCCTCGACCGCGGGGAGCTGAAACGGACGCCCAGTTCCTTGAGGTGCCAGAGCAGCAGCAAATGCAGCGACGATGACAAAAGGGGCGCCGCCAAGGGGTGCCGGGCGCAGCGGAAGCAGCTTGTGAACCAAGAGGACCATATACGCCGTTTGAAAACATGGGGGGGGGGGGGGGGGGGGGGGGGCGGGGGGGCGCCGGCATGGGCGTAACTTGAATTTGAATTTCGCAGTGCATTTCGAACAGTCTTGCGACCGCGCTCAAGAGGGTGAGTTTCCGGGCAAGAACGGGTGCCTTATCCCAGCGCAGATTCGAGCTGAATGGCCACGCTATCTATGATTTCGACACGCGCAAGGAAGCGAACCACTTCGCAGTCGACTGGCGCGAAGAGGACGCGAAAGAGTTCGACGCCAGGAGATGCATCCACCCGCAACTCATGACACGAAGACCAGGTATTTCTTCGTCGAGGATGAAGGGCGCCAAAAGACTTGGACGAATAAGCAATCCAAGAAGATCTGGCGGCGCAGATGCGAAGAGCGGCTCGCGCCTCGCGAGCGCATGCGACGCGATGGGCGGGCTATCCGCACTGCCGGCAGCGTCGTCCGAGTCGACAGTAGAGGTCAAGGACGGGCGCCCGCCGGTCCCCGAGGTTAGGGCGGCGGCGAAGGAACTCAAGACCGAATGGGGGGGGGGGGGGCAATCGCCCCCGTCTCTCCGTTCCGCCGCCGCCCCCTGGGCCAGACGTGGCGGCGGGGGGCGGCGGGTGGGGGGGTGGTGGTCGGGCGTTTTGTGCTTCCGTGCCAGGAATGTTTTGTTTGGGCTGCGTAAATTCCAGATGTCGCTGCGATAGCGCAGGGGCCAGCTGGCAGCGACGCGCATGGCTTCCAAGGAGGGCAATAAGGGGGCGCTGCGGTCGGGTCACTCGCGGGAGATCGAGGGCAGCGCCACTGTTCTGGGCAGCTTCGTGGACGAATGCTACTGCAATATCGCCGCGGCCAAGCAGGCGCACACCGTGGACGCGAAGAGCTGCCCGCTCTCCAGGGGCAGCTTGCCGACGCGAAGGAAATGCTCGAGCTCCACCTGACTGGGTCGGAATTTCGCAGGCGCAAGTATTCCGAGCTTCCCGGGCGCGCGCGAGGCTTCGGCGCGCGCAGATAGGAGGGGCAAATGGGGGAGAAAGGAGGAGAAGGGGGATGATGGGGGAGGAACAACAGGAGGACTATATACGTGTTGCAACATATCCTGGTGGCCCTCGCTGGCTTCACTGGTGCAGCCGCATGCCTGGGCGGCGAGTTTGCTGCCGCTGCGCTCTTGAGAACAGATCGCAGTCGCAGTGTCGTATGTCCTCGTGTGCAGGAGGGCCATCGATGTCGACCCGTCGGCAGCGATGTCTTCCGCAGTGGCTTTGCGGCTGGGGCCCCCCGGTTTTCCGAGGGCAGAGTTGATCTGCAAACGCAAGCGCTACAATGATACTGCGTCTCTTCCTCATGACAGGAGGTCGAGGGCAAACGTGGGCACGCTGGTGGCGACCCATGCGCTCACCTACTCCCAGGCCCGTTCGCTCCTGGGCGACGCCCACGCCGGAGGCCCCCGAGGAGTGGGCCGCTTGATCGGCCGCCGAGGAGCGGGCGCGGAGGACGTCAGCAAGCGGGCAAACGTCGGTAGCAATGCATCCAGGAGGCTGCGGAGGCGATTTCTTCGAGGCAGTTTGCGGCCTGGGGCGTACTTCGCAGAGGTCTGTTGTTGGAGCAAGAGGCGCAGCTGCGAGCAGCAGGAGTGGGTCGCTGTCGGCTTGCCGCGCGAATACTTTGCCCAGCTGGCGCAATGCGGCGCGTTGGGAAATCTCGGGGACATCAGCGATCTGGAATATAGTTCGGAAGAGTCATGTGCAGCGCTGCCTCTCGTCCTCTCGGCAATGCAAGTCGGTTCGATGATTCCCGCGGGTCTGCGGGCCAGCGGCGTCCCGTGCCAGCGGGGCCGCGACCAGTCAGTAGAGATCGCGCGCTTAAGCTTGCCAGGGCTGCCCATAGCGATGGAGGCGCGCAAGCTACGCGCGCCAATCACTGGGCCGATGAAGGCTTCCATGAGCACGAACACGCGGCATGACATGTTCAGTGTGATTCCCGGGCGTTTTCTACCCATGGCTACAGGTAACTACCCTGCAGCCCGCCACGACGGCAGAGCTCGGTTGAAGTCTGACTTTCGCAGGGGCAGGAGGGCAGGTGCTGATCTGGGCCACAGGTCTGCGCTGGCGCAGACGCGCGCAGATTGGGAGCGCCGGAAACAAGTGACCGGGTTCCCGCAGTTCAGCGAGAAGGCGGGGCGCTGCTTGAGGTGCCGCGTGACGCCGCGGCAGGCCCTTCACCCCTCGTCTCTTTCCCCCGCGCCTCCTCCCCACTCGCCGGCCGCGCGGGCCCCCCAGCCGGGGCGCGTCGGCAGCGCGGTGCCGCGGCGGAGCAATGGGCGCGCGAAGACGCAGCTGATCCATCCCTCCATGGAACAGGGTGTTACTGGATCGCCAATGATGTCAATCCCATGGGTTGACCAGCCGGCCCTGCAGCATCGATTGGTTGCGCGCAGTTGATTCGGGCGCGGCCGCAGATTGGTTGGGCCGAATGCTCTTCATATTAGTGCGGTTGAAAATTCTGGCCGCGCGCGCGACGCACAGTGCAGAGCGCCACGTGGGCGCCTGCGCGTTTGGTGCGAGCGGGCAGCAGAAGCGGATCGAATCCACTCCTCGACCATGAAGATCATCAGACGCAAAAAACATTGCCTTGCAGGGCAAGCTGCTGGCATCCGACGCACGGCGCCTTCTGGGAATACGCTCGCCGACGAACTGTGCGACCCGGGTTTCGTTGAGGAGGCAGCGATTGGGCAGTTCTGCGTGACCAGTCGTTCAGGCTCAGCCTGCAATGCGCCGCCCTGCGCGGCGTGCGCCCCAGAGTGTACGACATGGAAACGAAGTTTCATACATTGTTCGAGATGGACTTAGAAGTCCTGCAGGGGCATCAGCCCGAGACGCGCTGGACTTACAAAGACGAGGACTTCGGTGGCGCGGGCGCTCGCTCCGCCGAGCGTTTCGGCAGCGTGCTCACGCCCGAAGGATTCAGCGCCGCATTGATGTCCAGATTTTTCTCGCGGCCTTTTCGTTCGGATCGTGTAATGGGATCGCTTCGGCTTTCTCGAAAACAGAGGTCGTCTTCCCTCCTCTCTCCTGCGCAGGACGGGCGTATCGATCTGCATCGTGGCTCCCCCCCGTCGCCGCCCCCATATTTTTCCACCAGAGGTTTGCTACTTCTTCATCTATCCGCAAGGGCTTCGCCCCGCGCCGCCGGCCCCCTGTCTTTGAACATGGGAGATGCAAAAAGCTATATCATGAGGTCTGGGCGCCGCCGTGCAGCAGTGTCGGGGCCTGTCTGCTTTTAGATCCTGACCCTACGGATCTGCGTCGCGGGCGCCACCGGACTTTCAAACGTGCAAATCCCGTGTGTTTTTCCCGGAAAGGGCGTGGGCCCAGGGTTCTCTTTTAGATGGTTTACCCCCCGGTTTGGACTTGAAGGGGGCTGGCGAAATTATTCTGCGTAAGTAACGAGGTAAAGTGTTGATTTTCAGTCGAAAGAATGCGTTTCGCGCGTGCCCGCTCGAGGAAAGTGCGCCCCCCCATCTCGGATCTTGATAAAAAACGGGCTCCGCAGACCTGCGTTTTCCCTCGTAAAAAAAAACATGGTGCGGAGGTTTTTTTCGCAGAATCCTCGACAAATAACGGGGTCTGGAGTCCCGACCGCGACGCGGAAAAACGCCCCGCGCGCAGGAATTCCGAGGATGTCTCGCGCGTGCCGCGTCCCGCGCGCAGGAATTTCGAGGATGTCTCGTCTAATTCGTTTGTTTTGCTAGGATTTCTAAGAATTTTGGCAGGATGTCTCGAGTGAAACGTTTTTTTGCATAGTTTGTTGAGGATGTCTCGAGGGAAGCGCTGGTTTTGCAAAATTTGGGGGATGTCTCGAGCGGGGGCTTCGTGGGATGCCAGAATTCAGAGGATGTCTCACATGAAATGCTTGTTTTCGTGTCACGCTCGCAGGAATTCCGGGGATGTCTCGCGCGTGCCGCGTCCCGCGCGCAGGAATTTCGAGGATGTCTAGACTAATTCGTTTGTTTTGCCAGGATGTCTTGGATCTTGACCGGATGTCTCGAGCGAAACGCTTGTTTGTCATAATTTATTGAGAATGTCTCGAGCGAAACGCTGGTTTTGCAAACTTGGGGGTGTCTCGAGCGGATGCGTCGTGGGGGGCCAGAATTCAGAGGATGTCTCAGGCGAAATGTTTGTTTTCACGTCCCGCTCGCAGGAATTCGGGGGATGTCTCGCGCGTGCCACGTCCTGCGCGCAGGAATTTTGAGGATGTCCCGTAACGCGTCCCCTTGGCACGTCCTACGGTGCGACCCCATGGCACGTCCCACGTCGCCTGGCGCGTCCCTTAGGACGTTTCGCGGCGCGTCCTCCTGGCATGTCCCCCTGTCAATTAGCTCTGGGGCAGCTACTATGTGTTCAGGCAGCTCGAGCTTCAGATCCAGATCAGTTCGGTCACGACTCGGATGCAAAGGAAGACTCGATCCACGACGCTATAGAGCACAACCGCGGCATGGCACATCGCAATTCAGCACGGCGCAGCACAGCACAGCCCTCGGCACGGTACATCAAGATCGATACAATCAGCATTGCACTTGCCCGTCACCCAATCAGGTGTCTTCGAAAACGTTGCCATGCGTTACATTTCTATATTATTTTCCGGGTTCGTGGGTCGATCATGTTTGGACCCTCGCCTTACGGATCTGCGTGAGTGGTGCCGCCGGATTTCAGAAATGTGGCAAATCCCTTGTGCTTTTGGACCCTGGCCCTGCCGATCTGCGTGAGGGGTGCCGCCGCATTTCAGAAATGTGTCAGCTCTCACGTGATTCTGGTCCCTGGCCCCGCTGATCTGCGCGAGGGGTGCCGCCGGATTTCAGACACGTGGCAACCCCCATGTGACTTTGAACCCTGGCCCCGCTGATCTGCGTGAGGGGCGGCAGCACATTTCAGAAATGTGGCAAATCGAAGTTGTTTTTGCGCCCTGGCCCCGCCGATCTGCGCGAGGGGTGCAACCGAATTTCAGAAATGTGGCAGCTCCCTTATGTTTTTGGGCCCTGACCCCGCCGATCTGCGCGAGGAGTGTCACCGAATTTTAGCAATGTGGCAAATGCCCTGATCCCGCCGATCTGCGCAACGGGTGGCAGCAAATTTCGGAAATGTGGCAAATGCAATTTGTTTTTGGACCCTGGCCCCGCCAATCTGCGCGAGGGGTGTCACCGCATGTGAGAAGTGTGGCAAATCCGCAGCGTTTTTGGACCCCGGCCCCGCCGATTTGCGTGGGGGGTGGTAATTTTTACCCACCCCGGCACTTCAGACAACGCGCTCAGGGCGCGGTAGAAAAATTGTTTCGCCCCCCCCCCCTCGCGCGGTCCATCCACAAGGGACAAAAAGCAGCGAGAAGCATGACTGCAACAACGAACAGCAAGCAGCAATAGGCATAACTGTAACAGTGGAACCTGGGAGCTGCAACTGGCACAGGAAACTGCGAAGCTTCGGCCTGCAGCCTGGTGGCCCCGCAAGGGGGCCGGCGGATTTGCTGCGTCCGTTTTTGGCTTGCGAGTTGTTGTTGCAAACTGCATCGAATTCGGAAATCAATAACAGATGGCTGCCTGGGGCGCTCGATGCTCCGCGCGCGGCGCCCTCGGCGCTGCTGGCCGCGCGGGGCCGCGATGCTTCGCGCGGCTGCGGGGCGTTTCCTGGCGGCGTCGCTGCTGCCGGCAGCGCGCCCCGAATTGCCGCTTTCAAGATGTGGCGGAGCCGCGGAACGAAGACGCGCCCGCGGCCGAGAAGCTGGTCGTGGAGCGCCCGGCGATCGCGGCGGAGGCGCGCGCGGCCCAGGGCGGCGGGAGGGGCGGGCAGGCGAACCGGCGGCGACGGCTTCGCGCCGCCGTCGGAGGCCGTCGGAGGCCCCATGAGGCCGCAGCGATGGCCCCAGACGCTGGTCAAGACGACTCCCATGGCGCCGAGAAGGCGCCCGAAGGCCCCGAGGGCGCCCCAAGAGGCACCCCGAGAGGGCTCCAATAGGCGCACATCGACGATTTCCTATGGGAAGCTGATATTTTTGGCGCGTTCGCTTCTTTGGCGCGTTCGCTTCTTTGGGCTTCCACTGCGTCCAAGACGGCCCAAGAGGCCCCCAAGACTGCCCCGCAGGCTCCCAAGAGGGCTCCAGGACGACCCCGAGAGGCCGCGAGCCCAGAATCGGGAACGCGCTCCCTTTTGCGCCAGCTCTTCGTGCCCGTTGAGACAGGAAAACGCGGCGAGGGGGGCGACGTCTCCTGCCGCGGAGACGCCGCAGGGGGGGGGTAGAGGGAGGAAGGATGGGGCGGAGTAGCATGCAATTGACATGAGACTGGCGCACAAGCCCAGGGGACCTCTGTTTTCAATTAGAGCATATTGCTAGTTAGAGCATGTAGCTATGTATGCCTTGATTATCGATGATAGCTACTTAGAGCAGATAGGGCCCTCAAGGTCCTAGCGGATTCATATGTGTATGTGACCTACGTCGCCGATTTCGGTGGCGGAGCCCGGGTGCCCGGGGTTGCCCGGGTGCCCGGGTGCCGGCGCGTGCCCGGTAGTGCCCGGGGGTGCCCGGAGGTGCCCTGGGGTGCCCGGGTGCACAGGTGGTCTATCGCTCTATCGCCCTATCGCCTTATAGCTCGATAGCCATATAGCCCCATAGTCCACTGGCCCTATAGCCCTCAAATCCTATAGCCCATATATCCTTCTAGTTCTATAGCCCACAGTGCTATAGCCCACGTAGCCCATATAGCCCTGTAGCCCTATAGCGTTACAGTCTTCTAGCCCTGTAGCCCTACAGCCCTATAGTTCTATGGCAAAATAGCCCGATTGCCCTGTGGACCCCGTTGCTGTCATAGGCCTCGCAGACTTCAAAAGCCTAGGGATCAATTACAAAGAGATGTCATGCAATGGCACAGAAAATGATTGGCCTGTCTTGGGTAGCGTGGTAGTAATGACAGTAGTCATATTACTACTATCACCACTACTACTACTACTACTACTACTACTACTACTACTACTACTATAGTAGTAGTAGTAGTAGTAGTAGTAGTCGTAGTCGTAGTAGTAGTAGTAGTAGTAGTAGTAGTAGTAGTAGTAGTAGTAGTAGTAGTAGTAGTAGTAATAGTAATAGTAGTAGTAGAGGTAGTAGTCGTAGTAGTCGTAGTAGTAGTAGTAGTAGTAGTAGTAGTAGTAGTAGTAGTAATAGTAGTAGTAGTAGTAGGAGGAGGAGGAGGAGGAGGAGGAGGAGGAGTAAGCGTAGTAGTCGTAGTTGTAGTCGTAGTCGTAGTCGTAGTAGTAGTAGTAGTCGTAGTAGTAGTAGTAGTAGTAGTAGTAGTAGTAGTAGTAGTAGTAATGGTAGTAATGGTAGTAATGGTAGTAATGGTGGTAGTAGTAGTAGAAAAAGTAGTAGCAGTAGTAGTAGTAGTAGTAGTAGTAGTAGTAGTAGTAGTAGTCCTCGAAGTCGTAGTAGTCGTGGTAGTGGTCGGGATAGTGGTTGTGGTTGTGGTTGTGGTAAAGGTTTGGCACAGTAGTAGTCGTAATAACATAGTTGTCGTAGTAGTAGTAGTAGTAGTAGTAGTAGTAGTAGTAGTAGTGAACGTCACACTAATAGTAGTAGCCGTATCCATTGTAGTAGTCGTAGCAGGAGTCGTAGTTTTGGTAGCGGAGGTGGTAGTCGTAGTAGTTGTACTACTGATGGGTAGTAGTATTAGTAGTAGTCGTAGTCGTCGTAGTAGTAGTAGTAGTAGTAGTAGTAGTAGTAGTAGTAGTAATAGTAGTAGTAGTAGTAGTAGTAGTAGTAGTTGATAGAAATCGTAGTAGTAGTAGTAGTAGTAGTAGTAGTCGAGTAGTCGTAGTAGTAGTAGTAGTAGTAGTAGTACTAGTAGTGGTAGTAGTAGTAGTAATAGTAGTAGTAGTAGTAGTAGTAGTAGTAGCAGTAGTAGTAGCGGTAGTAGTAGTAGTGGTGGTTGTTGTGGTAGTAGTAGTGTATGTAGTTGGTGTGGTAGTGGTAGTGGTACTAGTAGTAGTGGTGGTCGTACTGGAAGCAACAGAAGCACACGTGGTGGAAGTAGTAGTCGTAGCAATGCGTGGTAGTAGTGGTCGTAGTAGTAGTCGCAGTATTCTTAGTAATCGTAGTAGTAGTAGGGGTAGTAGAAATGGTAGTAGTAGTAGTAGTAGTAGTAGTAGTAGTAGTAGTGGTGGTAGTCGTAGTAGTAGTAGTGGTAGTGATAGTGGAGGCAGTCGTAGTAGTAGTAGTAGTAGTAGTAGTAGTACTACTAGTAGTAGTTGTAGTAGTAGTAGTAGTAGTAATAGTAGTAGTATTGGTAGTAGTAGTAGTAGTAGTAGTAATAGTAGTAGTAGTAGTAATAGTAGTAGTCGTAGTAGTATTGGTAGCCGTGTTAAAAGTAGTAGTAGTAGTAGTAGTAGTAGTAGTAGTAGTAATAGTAGTAGTAGTAGTAGTCGTAGTAGTAGTAGTAGTAGTAGTAGTAGTAGTAGGAGGAGTAGGAGTAGTCGTAGTAGTAGTCGTGGTACCAGTAGTAGTATATTAGCTGTGGTAGTGGTAGTGGTAGTGGTAGTGGTAGTGGTAGTAGTAGTAGTAGTAGTAGTAGTAGTAGTAGTAGTAGTAGTAGTAGTAGAAGTTGTAGTTGCCCTCGTAGTATTCGTAGTAGTAGTAGTCGTCGTCGTCGTCGTCGTCGTCGTTGTCGTCGTCGTATGAGTAGAAGAAGAAGTAGTAGTAGTAGTGGTGGTAGTAGTAGTAGTAGTAGTAGCAGTAGTAGTAGTAGTAGTAGCAGTAGTAAGAGTAACAGAAGTAGTCGTAGTTGTAGCTTTGTTGGTTGCATTAGAAGCAAAGGTGGTGGTAGTAGTGGTAGTAGTAGCTGGTGTAGCGGTAGTATACGCCATAGTAATTGTTGTAGTAGGACTGGTAGTCGTAGTTGGAGTTGTAGTAGTGGTAGTAGTAGTGGTAGTAGTCGTAACAGTAGTAGTGGTAGTAGTAATACGATTAGTCGTAGTAGAGGTCGTATACGCATTAGTAGTAGTAGTGGTCGTAGTAGTAGTAGTCGCAGCACCAGTCGCAGAAGTAGTGGTAGTGGTGGTGGCAATGGTAGTAGTAGTGGTAGTCGTCGTAGTCGCAGTAGTGGTCGTGGTAGTGGTAATGGCAGCAATCGTGGGATAGGTTGTGGTAGCAGTAGTTGTAGTAGTGGGTGTAGTAGTGGAACTCGTAGTAGTGGTAGGGGTACTAGTGGTAGCTGTAGCGTTAGTGGTAGCAGTGGCAGTCGAAATCGCAGCAGTAGTGGTAGCCGTCGTAGTAGTAGTAGCAGAAATGGTAGCAGGAGTAGCACTGGTAGTGGTAGTGGTAGGCGCAGTAGTACGTGCGGCAGTGGATGCAAAGGTGGTTGTAGTACGAGTCGTAGTATGGGTGGTCGTAGTAGGGGCCGTAGTAGCATCGGTAGTAGTAGTAGTAGTAGTAGTAGTAGTAGTGGTGGTAGTAGTCGTAGTAGTAGTAGTAGTAGTAGTAGTAGTAGTAGTCGTAGTAGTAGTAGTAGTAGTAGTAGGAGTAGTAGTAGTAGTAGTAGTAGTAGTAGGAGTAGTCGTAGTGATAATGGTGGTGGTAGTGGTGCCAGTACTAGTAGTGGTAGTGGTAGTAGTAGTGGTAGTAGTAGTAGTAGTAGAAGAAGAAGAAGTAGCAGTAGGAGTCGTAGTAGTAGTGGTAGTCGTCGTCGTAGTGTTGGAAGTGA